CTTGAGTTCAAGCCCCAGTACTAGTGTGCATGCACGCATGCATGCATGCATGCACGCACACACACACACACACACACACACACACACACACACACACATACACACGGGGGAGGGGGGAAATTCATGTACGTAACCAGGCTGAATTAAATTCCTAGAAATCATATCCCATAACTGTCTCTTTGGGACAGACAGGCTCTGGTCTGAGGGTTGATAGACACTATCATTGCTTATATAATTCAGCCTCTGCACACAAGAACTCAAGAGTCACCATCAAGTTTACTACCAGCCTCAAGACAACTCTCCTATGATCATTCAGAACCTTTTGGAGGGGCAACTGTCTTCTTTTGTGTGTTTCCAGAAATAAAATCAGAGTGGGGGATGGGAGAAGGACTTAACAACAGCTTAAACACTACTTCCTGCCATTGTCCTAGCTAAGAATATCAGATAGTATTAGGGTTTGCTCAATTCATTCTCACATCATCTATGATAATGAAGATGGAGTGAGTACGCTTACCATCATTCTGCAAATAGAGACTTGGATCTAGAGAGAATAAAACCATAGAAATACATCAGTGCATATAACATAGATGAAGGTGAAGCTTCTTTCTCCACTCTACTCTCTTACCCCACCCTACTTTGTTCCAGGGTAGTAACTAGCTCCCGCGTGCCTTGTTGTGCCAGATGGAGATAACCACCAAAAACTGGTCCAAGAAAAAGGCAAATTTGTAGGGTGAACCTGATCTTTTGTCCTATCCTGTCCTCCCCAGTTTTCCTCCTTTTGTTCTCCTTGTACCCCCACACCTGGTCTCCACCCCTTCATTTTTCTACCCTCAGTGAATCTCAGAGCACATTCCCAGTATCTTGAAATGAATATAGGAACCTCTTGCTACGGCTCAACTTTGATCAATCTCTCCCTCTCTCCTTGTTTCTTCCTCTCTCCCTCAATCCCACCCTCCCCCTCCTCCCTTCTCTCTCTCTCTCTCTCTCTCTCTCTCTTTCACACACACACACACACACACACACACACACACACACACACACACACACACACACACACACACACACACACACACACACACACACACACACACACACACACACACACACACACACACACCCCTCACAGGAGGATACAGCTGGATTCTCTAAGGTCTTTAAGAGGCCCCATTTATATGATGCAGAATAATTGGTGCCAGAACCTTCAAAGTTCACCCATCCTCCCAAAGAATCATTTTCCAATGTTGGGAGTGAACTTCACAGATGACCGTCTACACCATAAACAAGAACTCCTAGGTAGCAAGATAAACATATCTAATTAGAAGAAAATCCTCATTTCATCCAGACAGGCCCCCTGGTCTAATGAGATAGTATAAGAGGCTAACTCAAAGGTATTAGTAATGACAAGGTCATGGGCCCAATTTCTTTTTAAACATCTTGTTTCTTCTACTTGTTATCATGATATTGTTAGGAAGACAACAACAAACAGAAAAATCACAAAGCATCCTCTAAAACATGGAATAATCAGCAGTATATTTTTAACATTTCCTGTCTTCCGTTTGATTGGCAGAAGACTATACATGTATCCATACATGAGGACGCTGAATTCTCCACATTCAAGAAAAACATATGAGTTAGCCAGAATTGATCATTTCCCCCACCTAATAATTTCCTGGCCCAAAAGTTCTTTCATGACAAACAGAAGCTAGGTTTTTACAGTCATGTCTTTTTATGATCAGCTTTTTTTCTTCAATTTTCCCCACTCCCCAGATGTTTCCACAAAATGAATGCAAGCAGGAACAACATATCATCCCAGATCCAAATCACTTTTGTTTCACGCAAAGATATAATTTGCTATTATTTGCTACCATGCTTCTTATATCTTCTGTCTTGGCCTGATACAAATGATTTGGAGTCACCAAAACAGTCTTCCCCTTCTCTCTGAGCTCAGGTTCCATTAGGATATACCTGTAACTCAAGCTTCACCTACTATGAAACCACAGGTTAACATGGAAAATATCCCTGGGGTGAGAGGCTGAAAAGATTGGCTATATCCCTGAAAGTTACTGTATTTAAGTCATTTTTTAAAGTTTGAATTTGAAGCCTCTTGGTTTCTAGATAGGCACTCTACCTTTTGAGCTAAATCCCAGCCCTTTTTTTTGTTTTAATTAATTTTTCAGGTAGGATCCAGAGGGGTTTTTTTCTAGACTATGATCCTCCCTATCCCCTAGATACATGCCTCCCTCATAGCTGAGATCACAGATGTGTGCCACCACAGCTGACTTATTGAGATGAGAGTATTGATAACTTTTTGCCTTGGCTGGCCTCAAAACATAATCCTCCCAGTCTCTGTATCCTGAGTAGCTAGGATTACAGGTGAGCCACTACACCAGGCCTTCCCTAATTGCCCCACATTCCTTTAAAAACTCTAGTACTACCAAAAAAATTCAAGATTCTCTGAGTCACAGAGAGTAAATGGGCTTTGGAGCCTACCATTGATTTGCTGTATGATAAACCTGGCAAGCCACTGAATATATCTAAGACCCTGTTCTTCAATCAATAACATTGCATGCAAATGAAACAAATAATCTTCCTTACGCCATATTCAAAATTTCTGGGGCAAAGAGGACCAAGGCTAATATAAAGGAGTGACTACTAGATTGTCATAGTACCATGAAAAAGCTGCCCATTAGGGCTCTGGAAAGGCAAGTACTATACCTAGGATTTCAAAAGTAGAGTGACAGAGCAAGAGTTAGAATTCAAGTTTTCCATCAGCCAATCCCATGCTATTTCTAGACCCTTCCATTCCATCCCCACCCAGTATGTGCAGACTAAGAAAGCTATTTTCAGGGAGAAAGCTGTATTGTTCTGATGCACAAAAGGAAACAAAACAAAGGTAGAAAAATGTAAAGGGGATTAATAAAATATGCCAAACTCATCTTGCCAAGAAAAAGATATAGGCAAACAACACACTGAAAATTTTTTTTTACTGCTTATATAATAATGTTCCAGCTAACTCAGTTATAGTTGGCTTTTACTATAAAGATCCAGGCTGTTTGGGAAGAATGAGAGAACTGATTTTTACCCCCTGCATATCCAAATACATATAATAATGAGCCTTCATATAATAGGAGCCAAGAGTACATTCAGCATAAAGGGAATCATTAAAAAGCACCCTGCCTCTCCACATGAGGCACTTCCTTAACAGCTTGGCCAAGGAAACCCTCATCTATCCTCAAATAATCCCCCAGCCAGACCACAAATTGCTGGCTGCCCCATACTTAGTAACATCCCCTGCCATGCTCCTGTGGGCTCACAAAATAATCCAGGACCACAGCAGCAAGCACTGTTAGAGGTGCCTGGCAGGTTGCTTCAGCCCTGGGCAGAGCTGAAAAATGACCTCTCAAGGCAGGTTGTTTAAGTCCACTGTGGAAATTTTGTGGAAAAGGGAGGAACTGTCAGACCATGGAGGGCTGCACATTCCATTGTGACTTTGGTAGAAAGACAGAGGGGAGAAGTGGCCTTTGGTTAGCAGAAATTCCTCAGGGCTTGGATTCCCACCCTCCTACTCTAAAGAGGTTCTTAAAGGTGTTTTATTTGTTTGTTTTTAAAGAGAATGCTGGAGGGAGAGTGCCTTGGGCAGAGGTGTGATGGTGGCTGACAAAGACGTCTCAGGCTAAAGGAAAGGGATGATGGATGAAGATCTGGACAGCCTTGGAGAGGTGTAACGATTTCAGGGGTCCTTGCCAGCGTCCCCCCCCAAAAAAAATGTTGCCTCATCATTCACAAACCGTTCAGGCTCATTGTTATACCCAATCACAGCACTGCACAGTTGCCCCAAATTAGAAAGGCCGCCCCACACTACACAAGTCAACAAGCAGCTCAGTGAGTGGGTGTGTAGGCTGGGGGATTTGCCAAATTTCTGCTGTGAAGTGAATATTCACACTCACACACACACACACACACACACACACACAATCGAGCCACATTTATCTCCCATCTCCATCGACATGTATACTGTGAACTATATTTGAACGGATTGAGGAGGGAAACAAAACCAAACAAAAGTGGACTAATGCTCGTGAAGTTCTCTTCACTTGGCAATCTGGCAGTGCCTCAAGGTGAGTCGCCCCAGTAAGTGCCCCAGCTGTCCTCATCCCTATTTGGGGCGGCTCGCTATGGAGGTTCCAGAGCACCTCTAGTACAACTTCACAACTTTAGCTTCCAGCTGATCAGGAAAATCCCCTAAACTAAATCAACCCTGGCGGTGGCGGCGGCAACAGCAGCGGCGACTTCAGCACAGCTGCACTGCATGGCGCAAAAAGTTCCTCTCAATCGGGCAGGAAATCTCGCAGGCGCCGGCGCCGGAGTCCGGGCAGGACTCGGGCGTGAGCTGGGAGAGGCCGAGCCGAACCCGCAGGAGCAACGCCCGCCCGCCTACCCGCCTGCCGGCTGGGAGAACTAAACGGACGTGTGCGAGTTGGGCTGTGGGAAGTAAGGCTGATGAAAGCCACCAATGCTTCTCTCCATTCCCACACCGGCCCCCAGCCCTGTAACCTGCCCCGCGCGGGACGGTCGCCTAGAGAGCTCAAAGAACTGCCAAGCCTCGTTGTCAGTGCCTTCAGCCCCTCACTGTCCCGCCAAGGGGGGGGGGGGGGGGGCTCCACAGAGAAACCCCCAACAGCCGCCATTTCCTCCAGCCTAAAATTGAGGTGAGTGGCCTCCCTGATGTGAGGGTGCAAAGGCTGAGCCTTGGGGACGGTGCTTGCACTCAAGGCTCTAAAATCGCAGCCAATCCTGTTAGCGACTCAAACCCCAGCCATTCTGGGGGGGGGGGGGGGGGGATGGCTGTGCCTGTGCTGTTGGCAAGATCTCCCCTTAGCGGCTGCTCAGACCCCTTGTGGGGGCTTCTCCCCCTCACAGCCCAGGCCAAGTTTCTGATCGGATATCATACAGTCCATTCAAAGTTTGGACACCTCAGGACCGAGTCGTCAGTCCCTTACCTTAGACACTGTGAGCGGTTCGCAGTGCTCCAGACCCCCCTTCAGGGTGAAGCCCCAAGGCGCCCCTCCTTGCAACTGCACCGGGACGTACTGGAAAGACCCAGGCCGGTTCTCCATCCTCAGCCAGGGCTCGGCTCGGCTGGGCTCCGGCGCCTTCGCCGCCACCAGGCTCCTTTTCCGCAGGGGCTACGTAGCCTCCGCCCCCAGTGGCTCCGCCACCATCGTCCTCCAGCGCTGCGCCACCCCGCGCCGCGCCGCGCCGCGCCGCTCCGCCTCCTCTCCCGGCTGGAGTCGCTCGGGCAGCAAGCGAGTGCAAGGAGGAAATGACACGGAGTTGGAGAAAGGGGGAGGGGGGAGAAAAAGGAGAAGGAGGGGGAAAAGAAAAGAAAAGAAAAGAGAGGCGGAGGGTTAGCCCGTAATGGACAAGAAAACGGAGCAATGGGGAGGGGCAGTGAGTGAGACCTCGCCTATAGGATCGCTGAGGAGTGGGAGCAAGGCGAGGCCTCTCACATCAATTGTTACATTGTTTCATTCAAGCAGCCCCCCCCCTCCTTCTCTTTGGTCCTGCTCTTTACTGCCTGGCTCCCCGCCCCTCCCAGCAGCGGTGAGGCAAGCTGAGGTGAAAGTCGTTTGTGTAGATGGCCCGCGTGGCTGAGTGGGCTTTCCTTATTGCCTTCATGTTTCTCTGACTTGCCTTTTTCTTCTGCAGGTCTTTAGAACCGGGTCCTGGGAGGATTATGAAGCTGCTAATCTGAGGACCTTGCCTAGAGGGGTGGAAAGAAAAGTAAGCAGGCCAGCAAACACAGTGGGGCTGTGTGTGTGCAGGCTGCTCTATGTGTACGCGCTAGGTGTGTGGGGTCATTAAGAAATCTTGCCCAGGAGCCGAGTTTAAATAAAGGAGCACTTTGAGGATGCCCCCTGCCCCGGACTCAGCCACACCCTAGCTCACCATCTATGGGTGGCACTGTGTTTTTGCATATTCCACTAGATCTGGTGCTCCTGGCACTGCCTTGCACTTGCCCCATGGAGATGACCATGCCAGGGATGGAAAACTTTATGACTAGCAATATTGTCTCTAAACAAACACACAAGAAAGAGCATCCATTGATAAGGTGGCCAATTAATCATGTTGTGCATTTGGGAAGAATCAGCTTTTAAGACTGAGTGTGGAACATCTCTGATCATCAATTTTTGCTTGAACCTGTTTTTCCCCCCTCACAGGCTTTTCCAACAGACCAAAAGACCCACAAGAACGATCCTGAGAAGTACATTTTCTACTACATCTAATGCTGACTTCTAACCTTGACCTGATAAAGTTATCTTCACTCTCTGGATTTTTTTTTCCTGTAGCCACAAGTGGATAGAGCATTTTAAAAGAGCCTCACACTTGCAGGGAAAGTTTTGACAAGCCAGTGGTGATTCAACAAGGCATTTATTCTCCGCTCTTGCTTCTACAGTCTCTTTCCTCATTCTACTGTAGCTTGTTCCTCCTAACAAACATACTGTGGCCTGTCTTCCATGGCCAGATTATGGCAGTCGAGCTTTCCATTCTCCACTCCCGCTTCCTCACCTGTCACTTCCTCTTTCACAAACTGCTGCTCTGCCCTGCTCCAGCAAGCTGGGGGAAATTCTCTCCCATGTGGTTCCTCCATGCCATCTATTCTTTCTTCTCAGTCCACTGGACTCCCCTGACTTGTATGGTGCTGAGGACTTTCCTTTAAAACAATGGCAGTTTGGGTATTTATAGCCTACTTTAAAAAAAAAAGTCACTAGAAATGATTCACATAGAAGAATTCCCTTGAACTTTTAGACATTTAAGCCTATAAAAATGACCTAGATCATATTGGGTTGCACTTTCCATACTACAAAGCAGAACATTTGAGAAAATGACATCTAAAATTGTTGACTCCTATCTCTCTCTCTCCCCCTCCCCCTTTCTCCCCCCTACTCTCTCCTGTAGGGCCTTGCTCATATCAAGAAAGTACACTGAGTGACATCCCCAGCTCCTCATAGTAGATGTTTTTTGGTGTTAGTGAAACACTTTGTTGATACTTTTATTTCTGGTGCTGCTAGAGATTGAGCCCTGAGCCCCTTGCATGCTAGGCAAAGAGTCTACAGCTGAGCTACTTCCCTGGCCCCAACTTGTTAATTCTTAATTGCTCGTGGACTATCTCGCCTTAAAACAGCATTTTTTTTTTTCCTTCTGGGAAAAAAATATATATGATTGTCACTCAGTAGAAGTTAACATGTTTCAGACCCAGCACATTGAAATCTGTAAAGTTCAGTTCTGTGGTCATCACTCAAGGACTACTAGAATTATGTGTCTAGACTAGAGGAAAGAGAGTTGAAAGCAGGAGCCACATCAGAGCCCTGGCCTTGTCACTAACTAGATGGGTGACCTTGGGCAAATCACTGAGCTAACTCTTTTCAGCCTTATTTTCTTTGTCTGTAAATCTTAACTAACAAGCTCTGACTTTCCTACCTCCCAGGCCCATTGAGAGACTAAGAAGTAAAATAATACATATGAAAACACTTTGGTGAAGAAAAAAGTAAAATTCTTCCCAAACTTATTATGAAAGCAGGCACACTGAGTTTAGCCTTTAACCAATAACCCCTTGCAATCCAAGCCTCCCTCCACAGTACTATCTTGTTTGGCTCTTTACCTTCTGTTCATTATTATGGGAAAAGAATATAAATTGCCTGGCCCCTTGTGCAAACAGCACATAAATAGTAGATATTTTGTACATAAGATAGCAAGGTCATCCTGCAGGAATCTCATCCTTCTTTAAAAGTATAGTTAAGGTACCACAGTGGAGTAGTGCAAAGAATACAAGAGTTCTGAGAAGGACCTGATATACCTGGTTTGATACTTTTGTTGTGTGCCAGTACTGGAACTTGAACTCAGGGCCTTTCACAGTCACTTAGCTTTTTCATACTTGGCTAGTGCTCTACCACTTGAGCCACACTTCTACTTCTAGCTTTTTAATGGTTACATAGACATAAGAGTCTCTCAGATTTTACTGCTTGGGCTGGCTTTGAATTGGGATCTTCAGATCTCAGCTTCCTAAGCAGCTAGGATTACAGTTGTGAGCCACCAGGACCTAGTTTGATTTTTTGAGACAATCTCATCATATAGCACAGATTGGCCTCAAACTCATGATTCTCTTACCTTAGGCTCTTGAACACTTAAGTATATAGGCATGTACCACCAAGCCTAATTTGAGATACTTGGATTATAACCTGATTCTGCCATTAATTATCTGTGTGATTTTGACCAGCTCACTCCTTTCCTCTGTAAGTTGAAGGGATGAGCTTCATGATTTCCTAAGTTTCTCTTGTTTGCAAATTCTATGACTACTTCCTGGCAAGTATCTAAACATACTATGTACTTACAAACAGGTTTGATGACAGAGATGAACCAAATAGGATTAAAGCTGTAGAGAATGCTCAGCTGGTATATTTCTCCTGGATGTGCATGCACACCAGAGCCATCAGATGGAAAATGACTTCATTTTCAAGTATGTTAAATTGCCTGTGTGAGAAAGGTGCAGAGTCCAGTGGGCAGGTAGAAATCACATATCAACAGAGTGGCTGCTGATTGAAAATAGATGTTGTCATTATGGTTGAAGTCACTTAGAGCACATAATTTCACTCAGGAAAACCAAACTGAGAAGCAAAAAGAGATCTAGGTGGACTTCTAGAGTGTGCTAATATTTAAAGTATTATGAAATATTTAAAGTGTCTTGAAGGAGCTAGGGTTGAGCTCAGTGGTAGAATGCTTATCTAGCTTATAGAAGGCTCTGGGTTCAATTCCCAGCACCATAAGAAAACAAAGATTAAATAAATAAATAAAAATAAAGACAAATAAAAAAGGGTCTAGAAGGAAGCAGCTAGAGGAAGTGGGAAAGCAGAAATCAGCAGAATTGAGGAGAAAGAACACTGGGCTGGATATTTACATTACTGTAAAAATTCCTCTAAAGAATCCTTCCTTAGGTTGGGAGCCAGTGACTCATGCCTGTAATCCTAGCTACTCAGGAGGCTGAGATCTGAGGATCGAAGTTCAATGCCATCCTGGGCAGAAAAGTCCTTGAAAGTCTTACCTCCAATTAACCAACAGAAGACCAGAAGTGGCATTGTGGCTCAAGGTGGTAGAGCTGTAGTCTTGAGTGGAAAACCTCAGGGATAGCTTGTAAGCCCTGACCTCAAAGCCCACAACTTACAAAAAACAAAATCTTTCCTTCATTAAGAAAAAAAAATCAGGGGCTGGGAAGGTGGCTCAGTGGTAGAGCGCTTGCCTTGCATGCAGGAGGCCCTGGGTTTGATTCCTCAGCACCACATAAGCAAAAAGAAAAAAAAGCCGAGCCGGAAGTGGCGCTGTGGCTCAAGTGGTAGAGTGCTCGCCTTGAGCTGAAGAGCTGAGGGACAGCGCCCAGGCCCAGAGTTCAGGCCCCACGACCGGACCCAAAAAAAAAAAAAAAAGAAAAGAAAAAAAACCACCCTATTCACTAGTGTATCTTTTCAGGAGGAAGAAGGCTGAAATAAAGACTTTATGAACTTTAAAAGAGAACTCCATAACTTAGTACATTGGAACATGCCAGCATTTGGAATGCTGAGACAGGAGAATCATGAGTTCAAGGCCAGCCTGGGCTACATCGTGAAGCCCTTCCTCAAACAAACCAAAACAAAACAAAAATAAATAAAATATAAAAGGAAAATAAATAACCCTTCTTATTATGAATTTGGACTTCCAGTGCCCTGATTTTCTTTCTAAACCAAGGACCTTTTTGAGATTCTAGAGAAAGCTATCTACTCTCTTCCCTAAAAGCTAGCTACAGGGGAGATTTCGCTCAGTGGTAGAGCACTTGCCTAGAATTCCTGAGGTCTTGGTTCCATCCCCAGCACTGCACTGCAAATAAGAAAAGAACTAGAAAAAAGAGGTGTACATCAACACACAATGATGTATACAGTTTGAGCTGAGACTTAGAGACCCTAGCTTACAATCTTGTTTTAATTTTTAAGAAGCAAGTTAAGTTTGGTTTTTTTGTTGCTGTTGTTTCTATCTTTTGGTGTCATTTCTGGGGCTTAAACTCAGGGCTTAAGTTCTGTCCCCCAGCTCTTTTGCTTAAAACTAGTGCTCTACCACTTGAGCCATAGCTCCACTTCAGACATTTTTGGTGTTTAATTGGAGATTAGATTCACAGACTTTCCTGCCTAGCTGGCTTTGAACCATGATCCTCA